CTTAATCTAGGAAGCTAATGGGTTTGTACCGAGTTCATTGAAGTAAGTAAATAAATGCAAGCATATGATTTTCTGCTTAGATAGAATTACAATAGAATTGTAATTCCACTCAATATCACTGTCAACAGACATGGGGGGAATGTTCTCACTTTTGATTGCATGCTGCTCTCACATCACACCATTCAGACGTGTTGCTTCTTCAAGCGTGACTTGTGATCATTAGAAGGTGTAAAAACAAATTCAGTTATGGTAATACCACTGCTCCCAGCCTCCACCACATGGGGAAGCTGTGAATGTGAGCTCATCACGTGGTGCATTGAGAGCATGAAACCACTGTTCCATGACCCATTACATTAGAACACCAGGAAGCAAGACATCACACTGAGTTCTGAACTTATTTTTACATTGGAAATCTGTGGCAAGCAGAAAATCTAGTATAGCATGTGCTCAGAAAGGGTGATAAAAGAGACCTTTGACTTTCAGGCCAGTCACTTAATTATGAATATAAGCACAAAAAACGTACTACTCCAGTATTCCTGCAGGTGTAGTACTGTAAATTAAATGTCTGTGAAATGGAAATGTCAGCCTGGTATTAGCAGATGGCATTTCTCTGATGGAGAAGTTTAGAGTAACGTTGCCAGGGAAATAAAATGCACACCGACTCTGTTACTCCTGACTGTAAATAATATTGGAATAGTTCTGACCGCTATAAAACAGGGAAATTGGTTAACATTATTATAGTTTATCTTAACGAGAAGACAAAGACAGAAAAACATCTATGACCTGTACCCTAGCTTAGAGATGTCATGATATTCAGATGTCAGCCTGGCTCAGTCAATCGCATTCTTGTCTTTGAGTCAGAAGGTTATGAGTTCAAGCCCAGTCTAGACTGAGCTCCTAGTCAATGCAGTGCTGGGGGAGTACCATATTACCAGAGGTGCCATCCTTTGGATGAGACTTTGAAGGGTGTGTTAAAGATCCCGTGACAAGACTAGAAAACAGAAGGGAGTTTCTTCCAGTGTCCTGACCAAGCAACCCATAATTGCATGGATTATCATTATTAGGATTGTGTTAGAGCCATTCAGCTACAAATTAACTTTTTTATTTTTCATTTCCATATTATGTTGCATTTAGTAATTCTTATGTTTAAAACACTGGACTGTTTATTGGGTCGGTGGAAGAGGGGCATCATGCTGCAATTTAATGAATCAGGGTTCAATGCTTCATGATATAGCTCTGCCATTATTATTTGAAGGTATCCTCAGCTGAGCTTCACTGTCCTCATTTGTGTCTGTTTCACAATATCTGAAGCTATTTGTTCTTCATTCAAAACCTAGAATGAACACTAAAAATTGTTTTAACAGGGATCACTAGGAGATGACCAGGTGCTGGGAACAAAGCATTTTCATTGTACACACATTTCTAGCTTGCTGTTCATCGCTATCAGCTATATGCTTGTTCTTCCACCTGTTAAGAGGTATAGCTATTTTTCACAACACCCTGATGATCTGGCTACTCAGCACTACTTGCATTTGATACAGCCCTGTATTATATTAAGACGTCTCAAAGCACTTCACAGTATCCACTGCATATTTGTTGGTGAATGCAGCAGTAAATCTGTGCACATCAATGTCCCACAAACAGGCATGAAGTGAATGGCTAATTTTATTCAGGGGATTGTTTGCAAGGACTCCAGTAGAAACTCACTTCTCTTATCAAATAGTGTTACGGTATCTTTAACGTCCATCTGAATAGGCAAACGGGACCTGTGTTCAGCATCTCATCCGAAGAATGACAAAGCGACACACTCCTAGCACTACACTGGAGCCATCTTAGACTATGTTAGTTCAAGTCCTTACATGGGGTTAATCCCACAACCTTTGGCTCAGAGATGAGATTGCTACCAACTGAGTCAGGCTTACACCCAGGTATTTAAAAAAAATAATAATCCTTGCATTTTGTATAGTGCGTTTCACATCGGGAGTACATCCCAAAGTATTTCACAGGATATACTGTAAAGTGCAGTGACTGTGATTTGTGGGCAAATATGGCAGCACAGCAAAGTGCCACAAACAGCCATGAAGTGAATGATCAATTTTATTTGGGTGATTGTTGACCAGAACACGAGAAAAAACTCCCTTCTCCTTTCTCGTAATACTCCACTTTGAAGTTGTCACTTTGGAGCTGGCTGGCTTTCTGGCACATGCGCTGTGACAGCACCAGTCACTTATTGTTGAAATCACAATGCAGAAGCACTGACCAGTGATCATACCCTATTACACTGCTGGTGGATCACCTGAGGACATGGTTTCAGGTGTAGTTTGACTCATACCCAGGGGCGTCAGTCTCTGAAAATCTATTTCACTGCCTCAAGTGTTCAGCAAACAGCATTGACCCAGCTGTTGATCTCTATGTATAATGTCTGTGCAACATTTTTTAAAATTAAAATGAGAGCCACAGTAATGTGGTCACATTCTAGGAAGGAGCAATCTTGTTTTAATCTACTTGGATTAAGTACAAGATCCAAGACTTCTACAACAATCACATGCTCCATCTCACTGGGTGGTCATGGCTCTGATTCCATTTGAATGTGTATCCAAAATTGTACAAAAGCAGCGAGATTTACAAAAAAACATATTTTTGCAAATAATTATAAATGGTTCATAAATTTGCACCAAACGTTTCTGCTCTCACATTTTTAGGATTAAACTTTCAATAATGAAACCTGATTTGAAGTTTATCTTATAATAATCCTTGCATTTGATATATTGTTGAGACATCTCAAAACGTTTCATCGAATATACTGTAAAGTGAATTGACTGTGTTTGTGAGTGAAAATCCTCAGTATCATGATCGCTCTCTCACTTTAAAGAATGTAGAAAGAGCCCTATTTGGAACAGATTCTGCCTGCCAGTTGGTTCTACATGGTGTTAGTAAACAAAATTTGTGAATGTGACAAAAAAGTAAAATTGGTCATTCACTTTGGCCTCATTTCTAAATTGTGAATATTTTGATAAAGGTAACTAGAGAGACTGTGTTTTACTATTGAGAAGCCATTAACAAAATACATCAATTGAGAAAAAAGAGGGGAGACGTTTTATATACAGAATATGGTTAGAATGTGAAATGTCTGACACAATCAAAAATGTTGTTGAAACTGAATCCAAACAACCTTTAAAATTGGATAAGTATGTGAGGACAATAATAATAATTAACTTTACAGGAGAAGAGCAAGGGAATGGGATTAGAGTATAATGACTCCAGTGAGGGAGCTAGTGAGGGAGCCTGACAAACATGATGGATTAAAGTACTATTTTTCTCTGCAGTAAAATTTCTGCAGTGGCTGTACCCAGGGTGAAAAAACAACTCCATGGACTACGAGGTTTAAGAAAGAAGTATGACATTCTGGTTGTCAGAATGGTCAGTCTCTGGTTGCTAATGATCTAACTATCCTTTTTGTACTGGGCAAGCCTCAGACTACATTAGCGTGTGAAATCATTGGGATACAGCTGTTCCTGTATGTAATGCTGATAATACTACACATTAGGTTTTTACTTTGTTCTGGTGTATTCTCATTAGGCATTTCTGTACTTCAAAGAAGTTTTTTTAGAAAATGTACAGCCATTCATTTCTTAGAAACAAAATTAAGCCTTCTAGCCCAACACATTAAAGTCCAGCTTTGATAGAAAACGAAGATGAAGCATGTATCATAATAATAATAATCCTTGCATTTGATATAGCGCTTTTCACGTCTTCTAGACGTCTCAAAGTGCTTCACAGAATAAACTGTAAAGTGAATTGACTATATATTTGTGGACGAAACGCGGCAGCCAATTGTGCACAGCAGTGTCCCACAAACAGCCATGGATTGAAGTGACCAATTTATTATTGTTTGTTTTTTTCTTGAGGGATTGTTATTATTATATTTCCGTTGCATAACCCAAGCATTGTAAGCAGATTCTACAGTAATAATAACCCTTGCGTTTAACATAGCGCTGTACCGGGTGAAAACGTCACAAAGGGTGTAAGTCATTGTGTATTTGTAGGCAAACACGGGAGCCAGTTTGCAGACAGTAAAGTCCCACAAACAGGCATTTTTTAACAGAAGTTGATTCAGTCTCAAGTAAGAGATGAATAAAGTAAAGATTTATTTAGTGTGCTTTGCTCCAAAAGTGATACCTGATCTATTTTGTTTGTTATGGTGTGTAGGAGAAAAGGATGGGAGAGAACCTGATGAGGAGGAGCTGGTCAGTCTGAGTAAACGACTAGTGGAGACCGCTGTCATTAAAGCTGTACAACAATACATAGAAGAGACCCAAACTAAGCCAAAACAGGGCAAGACTAATGGGGAGCAAAACACCTCAGTGTCTAAGAAATCCGACACAGACAATGACAAGAAATGAACTCTGTACATGAAAATCTTATATTTTAAAACAGAAAGTTTAATATATGCAGAGAGGACAGTTTTGTTTAAGATGGCAGTATTTGTTGTCTCTGCCTCCTTAGTTAAATTCAAATGTGATATGGAAATAACCTGGACCTTTTACCATTCATTCTTCCGAGGCTCCCAATGCATCTACTGAATGGAACTGTGGCCTTTTACTGAATGCCTTGGGTTAGAACAGGAAGATCTCCAATACCTGGAACATTGTTTTTCTTCTTCTGCATAACCACCTTCGCTGAATTAACTTGTGCATCTTTTTTTTAATTGTAGCAGGTAATGAAACACGAGTAGAAGAAATGTATGTCATAACTCTAATGTGATTCACGTGTATCAACCAATGCAACAAACTATGCAGATTATTTGCTTTGCAAAACGTAGGTATATGTAAGCTACATCGACCTGCGCAGATGGATATTAAAATATTTATTTATATTAATGGTTGTACTATCTGCACAATCTGCATTTATTTTACACTACTTTAATTTAAAGATTAAATTGATCAGCGGGATTCAATCAGCTTCTGTTAAATGAAACACATTCTATCTTTTTTCTTCAGGGAAAAAACATGAATCAGCCGTAATTAGGAATGCTGTGCAGAAAGAAACCATGACAGTGTTGAGCAAACTTAATCAGATAAAAGAACTTCTGTCCCATCCAGAGACTCAAATGAAAATTCGTAATGAAATGGCTGTAAAATGTACTCAATTGAAGCACTATAAACAGCAGGATCTAACTCTCAGCATTGGTTCTTATGACTTGACAAAACAAACAGAATACATTGATACCACTTCAGAGGACATGGGGACTCAGACCATTGAAAATTAAGAATAACCCAGATTTGATGAAAATGTTAAAGTTTAATGATGTTTTATTGATTTTTTTTTCATTAGCATGCATTATTCCTGCTCCGAATGCATCTTCAGTACAACTATATATACGTAAAAATATATTTGCTTTTATTTTTGCAAATGTTTTGGCTGTTTCAGTTGCCATTGGTGAACTAAGATCGGTGCATGTCTATTGCCAAGGAGAAATTACTGGAGGAATGCAGACTTTTCTTTGTGTGGTTACAACCCTCGGGAAGGAAGCTGTTCTTCTGAAGAGCATTCATTCTACTTGCATTTGATTCAGACTTGTTTATGTGGCCAAATAAGTCAGGGTGCTAACTAAAATCAGTATATCTTAGGCTATTTACAGTCCATCTTGGCAAGATAGATAGCTACACAGCGTAGGCTGTGAAATGGAATGCATTTAAATGAATTTATAAATGTTGATGCTTGGCACTATCAGTGTTTGCCAGCTTGTTGCACAGAACTTAACACATTTCTTCCATCATTCTATGCAATAGCTAGCAGGTTTTTCTAACAGCTAAAGACTGTTCTCCTATCTTAGAACAAAGTCTAAACCTGCATGAGTTTCAGACCAGCCAAGCACCAAAGGGACCAACAGAGAGACAGGCTCTGAGATTTTAATGATCTACCTAGGATTTAAGCCTCCGTGACTTTAAGGTGTGAATTTGAAGGGGGCATCTTATTTATACAGCCAAGTATTTATACCAAATATTGCTCCATTATTTTAGTCGTATTTCAGTTTATTTTATATTGGCATATATATTGGGAATACCTCTAGTTAGAATATTTTTATATATTTTGGTAGAGTGCAGGTTTTCAATACATATCAAAGCAGCTTCTACCCAAGTGTTGCTTATTCCAGCTCTATATCTGTATTAGCCAGATTACCCCGGGTTGATATTTTTAGGCAGATTCAATGTGCTCAGAGGACTTAAATGTCTATTTCAAGGCTGGAGACTTATGTTCCAAAATTTTATTTTGACCTCAAAGTATCTCACTGAGCCAATGGGTACATGAATTTTTCAGAGCAATAAATAATTCAGAGTGGCTGAAATGTGATTTGGCAATGTGATCAAAGCCGAAATTGATTTCTCATTGAGTTTTGCCAAAAGCTCCTTTCTAATATTACTTCAGAGTTAACTTCTTTAAACCCAAGGAATAGCAATCCAAAGAATCCGAGTGAAATGTTTCATACGTTGCTTGAAAACTACTAGATGTTGTCCTAAGGAAGCGAGCAAGGAGAGGGCCATTAAACAAACACTGCCTGAATCAAATGCACTTGACTTCCTTGCACAGACTAGAAGAGGGTATAAAAAACACTTTTTCCAGCATTCAACTCTATAACTTGAATAATGCTTATATAAGGATTTTGTTGTTCATTGAATACACTGTACGGTGGTTTTAGCCAATAACACCTAACACAATAAAATAATTTTAAAATGATTAACTGTGATTTGATGCAGGTCAAGTGGTGAAAGAAAATGGTCTGTGGTGTGCTAATCCATGTGCCGAAGACTAGTTTTGAAATGTCATTATCGATCAGTAATGTGGTTATTGGCATCAGTAAATGGTTGGAACTGTGATTGCAAATTATGTTTTGAAAGACAAATCATTGTATTAATCAATTGGTTTTGCATAAAAGGTTTATTCCTGAAGGGGTGTGTGTGTTTTTGTGTAATGTTTTGAACAAATGTACGGGTGAAATATTTCAACAGCACTTTAAAAAGAATACTTTGGCAGGTGTAGTATAAACTCACATTTAGTGCCGTGATTGTTTCATGTATGAGAAATATTTTCTTCAAAGACTGAAGGCTTTTTAACCCTCAAACCTTGTATTTTAAACCATATTGGTGTTTTATTATAAACAAAAACAGAGAGAGCTGGGAAAACTCAACAGGTCAGGCAGCATCTATGGAGAAAGGAAAGTGAGTCAACGTTTCGGGTCCACGACCCTTCGCCAGTTCTGACGAGGGGCCTTGGACCCGAATCGTTGACTCACTTTCCTTTCTCCATAGATGCTGCCTGACCTGCTGAGTTTTCCCAGCTCTCTCTGTTTTTGTATCAGATTCCAGCATCTGCAGTATTTTGTGTTTTGTGGGTGCTTTATTATGTTGCGTAACTCTCTTGCCTTATGTTTCTTGGGCCCCTTCTTTGTAAAAATATTCAGCTCCACTAGTTCATATACCACTAATCAGTAAACCATACAGAGAAGATGTTGGCAAGCTCAAAATCGTATCTGTGCTGAGTTAGATGAACTTATCCAGACAGCAAGCTGGTACACTGCAGTTGGCCTGAGTACCTCTGAGCTAGGAGTGGAAAAGCGGGCAAAGTTCCTGCTTTCAGTCACAAGATCTCTGCGATTGTAGATGCCACCTAGTTTGTTGTTGCTCTGCCTAATCCATGGCACCATCCAGCCAGGACAGAACAAAAGAATTCAATGTTTGCACCCTAAAAATATTTGCTTTATTTATTCAAAAAAGGCTTATTTTTGTGTGTGTAATTCTCAAAGGGTAGAATTGTAACCTGTTTTTTACATTGATGATTCAAAATGCATTGAATACATCCTGATGTTTTTGCTTGTATAACAGTATGACATTGATCTTAATTGCCAAAGATTTGCCGAGACAGTCTACACAATGTAACATGATATGACTCACCTGTTGGAAACAAAGTAAATTTAAGGATTCCCACAGACTATTCCAAAACAGAAGGGAGCTTCTCCCTGTATCTTGGCCAACAATCCCCCAAAGTAAATTGATCATTCATTTCATGGCTGTTTGTGCGACATTGGTTTGTGTGACACTGTTCTGTGCAATTGGCTGCCGTGTTTGCTGAAAAATACTGTCACAACGCTTTACATGAAATCCTGTGAAGCTCTTTTAACGTCTTAACATGAAAGGCGCTATGTCAAATTTAAGGATTATTATTATTATCTCTTTCAAAATAATACAATGTGAGACACATGGAAACCCATTGCTAGAGTTTCCTCATCAGCTATTCAGCAGACATCTATCTGCTTTGAGCATGGTGAGAACACCTTTAGAGGACTGTTTGTGACATGACAGCTGTCTAGAGGTCCAAGTCCAATGCGATTATCAGATTTATTCAACAGCAACTGCTTAATGTCACTTCACTTGAGAGGCCTCACAAAGAGGGTGCCCATGAACAACAACAACAAAATTACATTTGTATAGCGCCTTTCACGTCGGGAGGACAGCCCAAGCTCCCAAGGAAGCTGACTACACAGGGTACCTCATAAACCCTGATCATATCCAACTTTCTCAAAGTGTTGCACGGGCTGCAGACTATCCAGATCTCTCAAGTCCATAGCCTGTTCCATACCAGGCTCAACTAGCATATCACCTCCATCCTTATTTGGCTTTGTTTGCTCCCCATCTCTCAGGGGATCGAGTTCAAGATCCTGGTTTTCACATTTAAAACCTTCCATGATCTTGCCCAACTCTACCTCTGCAACCTCTTTCACTCTCACCAACTCGGCCATTCCCTTTTTTTCAGCTGATACTGGCCTATTACACGTCCCCCGCTCTGTCCCCCCCACCAGATGGAGCGGGGCATTCAGCCACTTCAGCCACTGACAGCCCGCTTTCAGGAACTCTATTCCCAGCCCTTCTGACTCCACTACAGAACTCTATTCCCAGCCCAGTAGACAGCCCATGACATGGGGTTGAGTCCAGATCCCTTTGGCTCATGAGCTACTGTATCACCTGAAGTGTTTTCTTATGGTTATAGGTTTGGCCTGCACATCCGCCCATGTCCTGCAGGTTGGCTATAATGTTGACCTACCAGCTGCAGCCTTGCACACCGACTTGGACAAAACCAAATTGAATGCATCGATTGAAGCCATCATGGCTGCCTCATAAAAACATAATTTCTTCTGGGATACTTTTAAAGAACAGTTGAAACAATGCACCACTGCAGTCTGGAAATACAGCATTCTAAAACTCTAGCCTGTGTGAATGCCCAAAGCTTTAATAGTACTGGTTATAAGAAAAGCACTTAGCCTGGTTCAGTTGGTAGCATTCTAGTCCTTGGGTCAAAGGGTTCTGGGCTCGGGCTGCATGTCTTTTGAAAGGCTTTATATAAATCCAAGTTGTTCTTCAAATGCACATTAACAAACTCACGTAGCTTTTTCTTGTCATTAGCACAAGTCCTTCTATATTGGCTGATGCTGCTTTACTACCAAAACATGTACAAAGCAGTTGATTCCACTGCTAATTGCCACATTTTCCACACTTCAAAAAAACATTTTATTGATGATTAATTCCCACATGGGTAAAATACTGTACACCGCTTTCAGAATATGAGGTGAATAGAACCCCATATGGTGAAGCAAATAAAAACGTTTGCAAATTGTTAGGATGTATCGTCAAAAATTATAGAAACACGATGGGATAGAAAGGATAATTATAGTTTGCCTGCCCAATCCTAAAGTTATTTTTAAAATCTTGATCCATCCCAATTTTACCCAATAAGCAGAGATTACTTATTAAAAACATTAATAAGACATTAAAAATCAGACATTACAAATTAAAACTGTAACCATATATTTTATAATTCTGAAACAGCCTGTAGAAGATGCAGTATAATAGTTTCAGAAGGTGTAGATCTTGCCTGCCAATGAGAGACATTTAAAGGTGGCAACAAATTGAAAGTGGGAAGTTATGTGATATTGTCGTTTAGTAAAATACCTCTGTTATACTAATTCTGTAAAACCGTTCTATCTTGTGGAGATACAATAAACCATTGAATAAGCCTAGATTCCTGGAGAGAAGGCTGAATCTTACACCGTTTAATGGCATTCGTTTACACGTTATAATACACAGGCATAAATGGGGTAAGTGAGCTCTCATTATTGCTGCTTTGTTCCAGTTTTCATCTATTAAATGTCCTTTCCTACAACCTTTATGTTCAATTTCATATACTAAGATTTGATTGAACATTTCATATTATAATTATAATAATAACAATCATTGCATTTGATATATGACCTTATCAAGGCTTCGAGACGTTGCAAAGCGTTTCACAGAATATACTGTAAAGTGAATTGTTTGTATATTTTGTGGCCGAAACATGGTAGTCAATTGCGCACAGCAGTGTCCCACAAACAGTCGTGGATTGAGTTACCAAATTATTTTTTTTTAAATGTTTTTGAAGGGATTATTGCTTCCGGAAAAATGATCCACCAATTGATTAACAACCGAGTTCCTACTTACTGCTGGGTAAACAGAGGCATGTGGAGTAAAGAAACTTGTCCAACTTTTCGGCCTGCCCAAGAATCTACTCGCTTGCGAGGCGAGTGCTCTAACCACTAAACTAAAGGACTCCACATTAATGTTCAATGTTCAGTGTTAATTCATTGAAACAAACTAACCACTACTGTTAATCACTCCGAGATGCTACCTATGTAAAGGGTGGCTAGTTGTTGGTGTCGCATTGTTGGGAGGTACCATCCTTCAGATAAGATATGAACCTAAAACCGCATAGTTTGTCACTAAAAGGACAATTAGGACCAACCTACCCGTTAGACCTTTGGCTTGCAGGGTACGGGCTGTGTTGTAACAATCCCAGCTCAAGCCCATTTCACCAAGTCATACTGATGAGCCAGGCTGGCTGGTCTGTCATCAGAAGTGACCTGGAAAACTGCAGACCCGACTAGCTTAGGAATCAGACTACTGAGACTGCCAGAGAATTCTGACGTTTTGTTGCTAAGCACCATGGAGTTCAACTACATAGAGACCTCTCGGTGCTTACCCCCTCAGGTGGATAGTCACTAGTTGGTTGTTGACATCTCACAAGCATAGATTTCAGGCCTCACAAAATGGTTAGTAAATGTCAAGAACTCTTTTGAGCTTGCTGATGTGTGGCATAGCTCAGCATAACAAGGACAGTATAGCCTTATAATGGTTTTGGTGGGGAGTGAGACTTACTTTAGTTTACCATACAAATTTCCCTAAATGCTTAGTAGTTGTAGTTGGCCACCTGAGCCAGGGGTGGGAGCTGAGAGGGGTGGGGAGGGGAAAGATGTCCAAAATTGGGGTCAAGGTAGGTCATTAGACAGTCCTTGAATGAGGTGAGGTGGGGAGAAATTCGGAAGGATTCCGGGATGGTGTTCCAAAGAGTGGGCCAAAAAAGGCTGAAGGTCCACCCACTGATAGTGGGATAAGGCAGGGGACATGAAGCCAGTCAGTACCTTCTGAGCAAAAGGGAACGGCTGGTCAAGTAGCAATGAAATAACATTGAGAACGGCAACAGGTTTAAACTGGCACTGGTAGATGCTGAGTATTGAATGGGTGCTGCAGAGATTCCCTGAGGGTGGAAGCAATGTTGGTTGGAGCTGGATTGTTGTAGTCATGGGAGCCTGAAGTGGAATAAGTCACAAGATGCAGCAACAACACACGGTCCTGTGCCTTTCCACACGATGTGCTGAAGCCATGAGAATCAAGCTACAGAAGCTAGACAGAGAAATACAGAGACATATAATTTGAGAATGGAATGAGTTTACAGTACAATACACTTCACAGTTATATAGCGCCTTTTACGTTGGGAGGACATCTCAGTGATTAGGCAATGGAATATAAAGGGAAAGTGAACAGATCATAAGGAAAGATCAAAAAAAGGAAGGTTTTCAAGCGGG